ATCAAATATAAAGGAAATCCCATTAGGATCACAGCTGACTTTTCAGTGCAAACTATGAAAGCCAGAAGAGCCTGGACCAAAGTATTCACAGTTTCAAATGATCACAGATGCCAACCCAGATTACTGTACCCAGCCAAAATGTCTATTATAGTCGAAGGGAAAAGAAAAATCTTCCATGACATAAATAGGCTGAAGGAGTTCACGTCCACAAAACCAGCCCTTCAGAGTGTTCTGGAAGCAATACAAACAGCTGAAGAAAGGAATGACTATACCCAAGGGGTTGCAGAAAGAAATTCAATAAGGTATAACTTTGGAAATGTACAGGTGTATCAAGAATGTAATCAGAAATAAAAATGACCAGATTCAATACTCATCTTTTATTAATAACTTTTAAGTATTAATGGATTGAACTCCCCAGTCAAAAGACACAGACTAGGTGAATGGATTAAGAAACAAAACCCAGCTGGGCATGGTGGTGCATGCCTTTAATCCCAGCACCTGGGAGGCAGAGGCAGGTAGAGCTCTGTGAGTTCAAGGCCAGCCTGGTCTACATAGTGAGTTCCAGGACAGCTGGGGCTACAGGGCCACCCTGTCTCAAAAAGACCAAGACCAAAAAAAAAAAGAAAGAAACCACATCTTTTTGTTGTCTGCAAGAAACTCATCTCACTTTCAAGGACAGACACTGTCTTAAAGTGAAAGGACAGAAAAAATATACCCCGGAAAAAAGCAGGTATACTAGGAAAAAAGCAGGTGTAGCAGTTCTAATATCTGACAAAATAGACTTTAAACTAAAACTAATCAGAAAAGATAAAGTGGGCCACTTCATTCTGATCATGGGAATAATAAATCAAGAAGATATTACAATCATGAACTTTTGTTCACCAAACTCTGGTGCACCCAACTTCATAAAAACAATACTACAAAAACCAGATTAATCCCAATTCATTAATAGTAGGGGACTTCAATACCCCACTGTCTCCATTAGATAGGTCAATAGGGAAGAGAGTTAACAGAGAGACATCTGAATTAAACAATACCATTTATCAAATGGACTTAACAGACATCTACTGTGTATTCCACCCAAGCACCAAAGGACATACTTTCTTCACAGCACCCCATGGAACCTTCTCCAAAATCGACCATATACTGGGGCACAAAACAAACCTCAACAAATACAAAAAGATTGAAGTAATTCTATTTATTTTTATCAGAGAAGGCATTAAGTAATGAGTATTTTGGCTTTCTGTCAGCATTTATTCTCATTTTTTCTGGGAGTAAATAATTGCTTTTGGCTTTGAATAACCAAAAGAAAAAAAATTCTATTCACGAATAATAAATTAATGACTTTAATGTACAAGTTTGAATTCTAGTATTCATTGATTTATAATAAGTTGGTTGTTCTTTGTTTTAGGTATCATTTGAATGTTTTGTTTTTGTTTTTTTTCTTTTTACTTTATGTTCTCTTTACCATTGTAAGTGCATTTGCTTTTTTGGGCTCAGTGCTGGGGGTTATATGTAACATTAAACTACAGTCCTAGCCCCTATAGGAATGATTTGATTTTTTTGTTGTTTTTTTGTTTTTTTTGAGACAGGGTCTCTCTGTAGCCCCAGCTGTCCTGGAACTTATTATGTAGACCAGGCTGGCCTTGAACTCACAGAGATCCACCTGCCTCTGCCTTCCAAGCTCTGGGATTAAAGGCATGTGCCACCATGCCCAGCTAGGTATGATTATTTTTAACATGTCTCTCAAAACATTAATCACAACTTCATTGTCCTGTACTTGGACCTGCAGTGGTGTCAAACCTTCTGATAGTAGTTGTCAACCCTTAGGCCCAACCTACATGTGTCCCGATCCAGAAAGCCTGGCTGATGGGAGTCATCCCCGTGGTGATGGATAGTGAGAACACTGTGCAAGAGAAGGCTCTGGAATGCTTGGACCAACTCCTGTTGCAGAACCTTAAGCATCACAAAAAATTTGATAGTGAGGACAACAGCCAGGTACTTGCTTGGACACTGCTTGCTCTCCTCACCACAGAAAGCCAGGATTTGAGGTATGTTAACTCTATAGCTTAAATTTCTTATAAAAGGCCTTATGGTGTTTTAGTAAAATGTTCAATTGATATTGCAAAATCAGTTGTCTAAATACTTAGTATGTCTGAAGACTGTATGACCTCTTTCTTTCTTGATAGTCTTCACATCTCTTAGCATTGTTGTGCTGAGTGTTTTTGTGGTGTCTTTGATCACTTTGCTTCCCTCTGACTGCCTTCCAGTTTTAGACTGCTGTTATATGTAGTATAAAACATGGCATAGCATTATTACGTTGTCATTCCCCACTACTGCTGTTAGGATAGGTGACTTCCTCATTCTTACAAACTAAACTTTGTAAATCTTATTGGACTAGTGGATTTAATAACACTGCATTTTTTTTTGTCTTTGATCAGATGGAGGAGATACTGTGTATAGTGAACATTGTAGTTAAGAATTGGAATCTGTTGCCGGGCATGGTGGCTCACCTCTTTAATCCTAGCACTTGGGAAGCAGAGGCCTGAAACTCTGTGACTTTAAGGCTAGCCTGGTCTACATAGTGAGTTTCAGGCCAGCTGGAGACCATATCTCAAAAAAAAAAAAAAGACAACAAAGAATTGAATCTGTAATGATACCTTTTACACTTACTACAGTAGCCTTACAGTTGGTTTGAGCAGTCTTCTTTTTCTTGCCTCTCTTTGTCATATAAGAAACACAGACTTTAAAAAAAAATTTTAATAACTACATGATTAGAAGAAGTATTTCATTATAGTTTTAACATATTCAGTAACACACTACAGAGCAAGAGTACATCTCTTTTGCAAGTGGATGCAAGTTTCTAGGTTCACAATTGAATTAATATAGTTATATATTATTGAACTCAGTATAAGCCCTGTAAGACATAAAATTGAATGAGTTTTTAACCTTAAAGAAGATCTCCATTTCATTTTAGAATATATTGTTCCTTGCAGAAAGACTCATTGTTTTTGCTACTAACACTGAGATGTTGGGGCATGCATCTCTAGGTTGTATATATCTGATTATCTGTGTGTATCTGATTATTATTAGTCATAATCGGTTGCACTTGGATCCTTGGTGCCTGTGTGTGTCTATAAAGTCATCGGATAGATTTCAATGGTAATGTTTATCACCTCTACTAATTAACATAATGTAAAATTTCCATGCTTCCTACTCAAATATAGTATATTTTTTAAAAAATTAATCATTTTGTGTGTGTGTGTGTGTGTGTGTGTGTGTGTATCACACAGAACATTGCCACCGTCTTATTCAACTATATACCCACTTCCCAGATGGCACCCTCCCATAGCCTCCCTCCTCCCTATAGACCCCTTATATTCTGATATCCCTGCTACTGTATGCTGTGTTGTCGGCACCCCCCAGCCATTCCCCTCTACTTGCCCTTCTGGTGGATCTAGTCAGCTTATCTAGAGGTCTTTGTTTTAGGAAGGTTCAGCTGTTCTTCATCTAGCAGCAGTGAGTTGTCAATATTCCTTTAGATAAGATTGGAGTCTGCTGTTCATTTTCCCAGTTCTATGCTGGGTTACTATCTGGGAGTCCCTTTGTTTACCCTGGCCAAAAACTCAAAAGAAGGTATATCTCCTATCTGTCATTGTTGCTTGTTATGTAGCCTTTAGCTATACATATGGACCCTTAAAAAATTGTATTGGCCCCTTTAATCTTTGGTTACACTTTGCCTTTGGGTGTTTAAGGCCATACAGTTGGCCCAGATAAACCAATTTATTTTTACTCTTAAGGCTGTTTGAGGATCTGTTCCTCAGGGGTCACATGGCCTTGAGAGGAGCCCCTGGCTCCTTTCTTTTACCAGTTCCACCTATGTGAAAATAAGTCAAAAGGTCCTGCTCAACCATGGCTAGCTTTGCTTGGAAGCATGGAGGAAATGATTCCTCTGTGTTGACCCTCCTCTTTGTAGACTGGACACTGGTTCAAGTCCATCTAGTGGGGTCTCCTTGGCCTCCTGATCAAGAGGACAGGTGACCCACCACAATTACAGGACGTTTTGAGAGATGCTCTTAGTCCCCTGGAACTAGTCGACCTACACAGACTTTTTATATATAGTATATATACAGTAGAGTAATGGATTTAGTGTAATTACTCTACAGTAGAGTAATGGATTTAGTGTCATAAGATAATGCTCTGTGGTCTTCACAGATTACTTTTTCTGACCCTTAGTTTCCTCATTTGTTTTTTTTTTTAATATTTTATTTATTATTTTTATTTTATGTGTACAAGTGTATTGCCTGCATGTATGTGCGTGTACCCGTGTTGTGCAGTGCCCCAGAGGTCAGAAGAAGGCTTTGGATTCCCCTGGAACTGGGGTTCAGGACAGTTTGGAGCCACCATGTGGGTGCTGGGAATTGAACCTGGGTCCTCTGCAAGAGCAGTCAGTGCTCTTAACCACTGAGCCATCTCTCCAGCCTCAGTTATCTCATTTGTAAGACCTGCTAATTGGATCACTTGATATTTTCATATCCCTTTTGATATTAAAACATTATGAGTGCATATTCATTCATCTAGTCAGTATTTTCTCAGTATCAGCTATGTGCTTTTGCTGAGCTTTCTAGGAAGGAGAAATTTATCCAGCAGCAGAATCTACTATATTTTCATTATTATTGTCTGTCTTTTCCTGTTCCTGTGATAAAATACCCTGATACAAAGCATAGTTATCATGGTAGAGAAATTATAGCAACAGGAAACTGGTCACATTCAGGGAACTGGTCACATCCTGTCAGAGTTGTGTGTATGTATCTGTTTGTGTACACATACATATGCATGTGGATGCATACAGTGGTCAGAGGCTGACTTAGGTACCCTCCTTGATTGCTCTCTATCTTATTTTTTGAGACAGGATGTCTCACCACTTGGCTAAACTAGCTGGACAGTAAGCTCTGGGCGTCTCCCTGTCTCACCCCTACTTCTAGCACTAGATGCACACCATGATGCCCAGCTTTTACATGGGCACTGGGGATCCAGACTCGGGTCCTCTTGCTGACACTGCAGGTACTTTTCAGATGGAGCCAATGTTACTAATTCTTTGACTTTTCTTTTTTTTGTAACCCCACTGCTAAATACATTTACTGAGTTATTAGTTACTACAATTTTCTTTTCTCAGATTTTCATTTTCTCCATTACAGTTTTCAATTCCCTGCTGCAATTAATCATGTTTATTCATTTGAATATGCTAAACATTGCTTTATCTAGTGTATTGTTATTAAACTAGTATATCTGCTACTGTCCAAGTGACAGTGTTTCTCTGTAGCTTTAGCAGTTTTATCTCTGTGCCATTACATTCCAGAAAATGTTTTAAAATTATTCATGTATTGGGGGCTGGAGAGATAGCTCAGCGGTTAAGAACACTGACTATTCTGGCAAAAGATCGGGGTTCGAATCCCAGCACCCCACATGGCAGTTAAGGGTGCACTTACCTACATGCAGACAATATATTCATACACATAAAATAAATACATGCGTACACATAAAATAAAAATAATAAATAAAATATTAAAAAAAATTATTCATGTATTACACTTAAAACCAATCTTAAAAATTACCAAAAAAATCTCTCTTAATTAGGTAGTAATCTGTTTATCATTCAGTTAAGTAGAAGGGGCAGAATCTCAGAGTATGAGAGGGATCAACAGACATATTTCCAAGTAGCTCCAAAGTCAGCGATTCCAAAGATTGAGATGATTGCACACAAGAATTTTAGAATGCATGTAGTAGGATGCTCAGCTCATATATCACTAATGTATATTATAAAAGGAAAAAGACTGAGTATTAGTGAGGTAAATGTTTAGGAAGTCTTTAAAAAGTGACTAAATCTGAAGGAAAAAAGGACTAAAATTAAGACCTGATTTTGGGCTGGGTGTGTAGCTCAGTGGTAGAGAGCACTTGCCTAGCAAGTCCAAAACCCTGGGTTCCATCCCAGCCCAAAGCAAAACTGATTAACAACAACAAAAAAACCTGATTCTTCAAAGCTTAATGGAAAAACGACTACTTTTTGTGACAGTTTGCAAGGAGAGACAAGCAGGCACAAATCAACAATATTATCAGTGAAATGGATGGTATAAGTGTGGTCATATTATACATTGTAAAATTTTCAGAAATTATTTCTTCAATTTTTTTTTTTTTTGTCTTTTTGAGACAAGGTTTCCCTATAGCCCTGGCTGGCCTAGAACTTGCTGTATAGACCAGGCTGGCCTTGAACTCATTGAGATCTGCCTACCTGAGGCATATGGCCTGCCCAGCTAAAAATTAGGTTTTTTTTTTGTTGTTGTTGTTGTTTTGTTTTGGTATTTTTGAGGCAGGGTCTCCCTGTAGCTCTAGCTGCCTGGAACTCACTCTGTAGACCTGGCTGGCCTCTGCCTCCTGAGTGCTGGGATTAAAGGCATGCACCACCACGCCCAGCAAAAATAGTTTTTTTAAGGTTGCTTTTTTATGCCTAGTTTTTTTTAAGGTTGCTTTTTTATGTCTTTGGCCTGGTAGGGCATCAGTGTCCTTTCAAATCTTTAAGTACAAATGCTTGTACAAGCAAAGTATTTATAAGTTAATTTATAATTTAATTTAATAAGCAAATTATAATTTAATTTCAGTCCCTTTTGTTTGTTTGATTTTTGTTTTTTTGAGACAGAGTCTCACTACACAGCACTGACTGGCCTGGAACTCACAGAGCTCTGTCTGTCTCTGTCTCCTGAGTGCTGGGATTAAAAGCATTAAAGATACCCACCATGTCCAGTTCCCAGCCATTTCTTTTTTTTTTAATTATTTTTATTTTATGTAGGTGAGTGTTTTGCCTGGATGAATGTAAATGTACCACATTGTGTGCAGTGCCTGCAGAGGCCAGAAGAGGGTATCAGATTCCCTGGATTATGGATTGTTGTTAGCCACCATGTGAGTGCTGGGCACTGAACCTAGTTCTTCCACAAGAGCAGCCAGTGCTCTTAACTGTTGAGCCATCTCTTCAGCCCCAACATTTATTAATTTTTTA